TATGAGAGTGTGGTGATATCTGCTACATTTGTGGCACTTCTTGTCCGACGTGCACTTGGCCTTCGTGTGTGGCCCCAAGCAGTTGAAGCACACCCCCTTGTTTATAACGGCGTCGTTTCTCTTCGCTGGGATGAGCTCAATGAACTTGTGGCAGGATGCGATAAAATGCTTGTCCTGACAGTAGGCACAGCAGTTCCTAGGAAGTTGTCTTTGTGGCTCCTGAATTTCCTGCTGGTGAGCTGCTGCTGTATAGGTGCTCCTTTTCTTTGTTGGAGCTGACTTCTTCGTGGCTGCGTTGATTTCCTTTGATGATAGCAGTTTGGCACCTGCGTTGATCCCTCTGCCGCAGGCCTCGCTGAACGCCACGAACTCCTTAAGGCTCGGGAAATCCTTTGAGTTTCCCAGCTTTCGTTGCCACTGCTTGAGTGCCTCTGCATCAAGAGATCTCCTCATTAAATGGGCTATCAGCTGTTCAGCGATATTTTCCGTCGTTAACCCCGTCACGTCTTGTAGTTGATCGAGGGTCTCCAATGCTGATGCTCCGTTGGCGCTGATGTTCTCTTCTGTTGCTTGGGTGATTTTCGGCAGCGTCAGGACTCTGTTGAACAGCGACTGAGCGACGAGTCTAGGGTCCTCGTACTTCCTGGTGAGTTTCTGCCAAGTCTTTTCGTAGTTTTCGTCCTTGGCCTGAAAGGTAGAGAAGAGAGCTGCTGCAGGACCTCTCAGGCATCCCTTTAGTCTCACCAATTTCTGTACTGGTGGAATTGACGTGACATTTCCCACCAGTGACAAGAAAAGGTCACTGAACTCCTTCCATTCCTCCGGTTTCCCATCGAATGGCTTCATGTCAAGACGCTTCAGCTGATTTGCCTGGCTTTGATCCGCTGAACTGCAAATTGAGTCCTTCTTCCTTGCCAGTTGACACTTCAGCCGAGCAATGAGCATCAGGGCTTGTCGTCTTGTCCTGGTGGCTCGTACATGGATCATTTCGTTGACATACTCGTGATCAGGGGGAACAAACTCGGCTAGATTGGCATAAATTTGAAACTATTCGCTCCATTCTTCCTCCATTATCTCCTTGTGCCCGTCTAATTCCTCTAGGATGAGGTCCTCCATGATAGATCTCTATCAGGGTCTCTACCTTAAACGTTAATAGCCTTAATTGACCTTCCTGTTGCATGGTGAGTGCTGTTTTTGAAGCTGCAGGCGTTGACTTTCGTTGAGCGGGCTCCGTTGATCCTGACGATCCACTTGAACTGTTGATTTCCCCAGGAGTGGTGATTAGCTTCGTTGTAACTGCTTCATTTTTTGCTGGCAGTCCCTCTTCTTGTGTGATTTGCTCGATTTCCTCACTATCGCTCACTGGTTGTTGAGTTTCTTCCTTGCGACCTTAGTGTCGTCTGCCATAGTGATTGTCCGTGCTAAGTTGGCGTTTTAGGTGAGTTATCGGCTGTTAAGTTGGGTGAGTTACCGACCGCTGAGAGTTGGGTGAGTTACCGACCGCCGAGAGTTGGGTGAGTTACCGACCGCTGAACTTTGGTGAGTCGCCTGTTGCGTGGCACACACGTGGTCAAGCGTTGGTGGGCTTCGGCGTCACTCGTCACTCCCGAGCCTTCCCGAATTCTGACACTGAGACTCTCATATTGTTCTTTGTTACCCCGACGCCCTTGCGGGTGTAAACAAAGCGAATGTTCTAGAACTTTCCGTTGATTTGCCCGTGCGAACCCCGTAATTTTTTTCGACACGAGGCGTCCCTTAAATTTTCCACAGCACTTTACACACGTTTTCACCCACAATTCGTCTCGAAGGACCACTGTTTGGTGAATGTCTAAGGTTAGTTTGGATGTGGGATGAAAATGTGGAAGGAGATGTTGGGAAAATTATGTTAGGCGGTTTATAAAAAATCACAATGTATTTCCGTGCGATCGAACCACTTGTCACTTAATTTTACACTCTTTGGTATATTTACTGTTGAATGTCTAATTTTCACTGATAATTGTATTTTCACCTTTATCTCGTTGAGTCACTGAAATTATACTGAACTTAATCAACAAGTTAATGTACTGAACAAGAATATTAAATTTAGAATACTGATTGATTGAATACGCTTGCTCATTATCGTAACGATACTTTAACACTACTGACTGACTCTTCCGGGTGCCGCGCTGACCGGGTGCCGCGCTGAGATGGCCGAGTTAGTCGACCGTGACTAATATGGAGATTTAGGCTGTATTTCGAACAGACGTTTTTTTGTAGGAAATTAGATTCCCTACAAAAAATAATGAATGGCAAAATGTCGTAAATGCATTTGTTTACAAGATAATTGTAAAAAAGTATTTTTCAACAAAAAAAACACGAAAATCAAAACCCGTCCCTTTCCCATTTTTGAGACAACTGTTTAATTGCTAATTATCTCGAAAATAAAGAGAGTTACGGAAGTTTCTCTTAAGATATTGTTTGGTGAGGAACTAGATTTAGGGTGGAGTGGGAGGTTAGAGGATGGTCGGTGTGAAATAATTGTTGAGAGTCTTGACCTAATATGAACGTTTATTTATTCTCGCGTTCAAACCACGCTTTGTCAAATTTACAAAACACCTTGTCACTAGTTGATCGTACTGAATTCATTTTAATTGTTTATAGGTTTTGCACTGTTGAGTCACTGGTTAAATGGCCAATAAATAACGTGATTTTCTCTTTACTGAATTTCTATCGCCGAGCTAATAAACGTTAATGTACTGAACGTGTCTACATTCTGCGCGTTACTCAAATACGGAGTTGAACTCTAATCAAAACGGACTATATGGCCGATCGTTTTATACTGACTCGCGTTGATTTACGGTGACTCTACTAGACCTGAGCGTTGAACCGGAAAAGACCGATGACTTTCGTAATTGGCCGAGCTGATCGACCTTGGTCTTGGAGAGGTTGGGTAGCGTTTCAAACACCCCGGGGGCATTCAACATCAGGGTTGTTGAATTACTGGTTGTCGTTCTGTTGGTCTTCTTCGTCCTCTAGTTGATCTTATTCTGGAGGCTGTTCTGGTGGTAGTGGGTCTGTTGGCAATAGACAGAGCTTGGCGATTGGTCGATCAAACTCCGAGTGGATCGTTTTGATGTTCTGGAGGTTTGGTGACCCGTCTGGATGCGTGCCGACTTCTACCTTGGTGATTCTCACTTTGGCTACCTTTGTAAGCCCATATGCTCCTGGTTTCGTTGCTATGACTCTGGCAATTGGCCACTGCGTTGGTGGAAAGCTATCTTCCATCATCAGCACTATATTGCCAACCTCTATGTTCTGCTGACGTGTCTTCCACTTGTAGATTGACTGGTACCGTTGAAGACACTCTTTGGACCACCTGGACCAGAACTGGTGAATTATCTGCGTCACTAGGTTCCATCGTCGAATTTTGCTGGGGTTCTCGTTGACGTATGAAGACTCTGAGATTACTTGGAGAGGCTCACCTATCAAAAAATGTCCTGGTGTGAGCACTTGGAGATCTTCTAGGTCGTCCGACATCGGACAGATTGGCCTGGAGTTTAGACAGGCCTCTATCTGGATCACTATGGTGTTGAGTTCCTCAAACGTTAGTGTTGTCTTTCCCAGGACTCTTTTGAGGTGATATTTTGTTGATTTCACGGCTGCTTCCCATTTGCCACCGAAATGAGGGGCTCTAGGTGGTGAGAAGTTCCATTCCGTCCCATTGGTGCCGAGAGCAGCCTGAATTCGTTGATTTTCTCTGGAAGCTTGGTGATAGAGCCTTTCTAGAACTTCTGCTGCGGTGGTGAACGTGGTGGCATTGTCACTGTATATGACAGCTGGAATGCCACGTCTTCCGGTGAATCTCTTGTAGGCTCCTAGGAAGGCTTCCGTGGTCTGCCTGTTGACGAGTTCTAGGTGAACTGCTGAAGTTGTGAAGCACACAAAAACTGCATTGTGCACCTGTCCTGGCTGTCCATTCGTTGGTCTCCACTTCAGGATCTGAAATGGACCTGCATAATCCACCTCTGTGTGGAGAAATGCTCTGGATGGTAATACTCTGGTTGCAGGCAGCTGACCCATCTGTTGTTGAGCCTACTTCCCTCGGTGTCTGGTGCAGATAATACAGCGCAGAATGTACGCTCTGACTGTGCCCCTGCCACTGATTATCCAGTACCTTTGTCTGGTGTAGGGAGTTCTGCGATGAGCTTCTTCGATCACCAGTGTGGTGAATCTCAACTGACGTGGCAAGATTATTAGGTGTGTCTCTTCAGGGTGTAGGTCTGAGTTCTTCAGGCGTCCCCCAAGTCTCATGATGTACAACTCGTCTAGGGTTGGTGTGAGCTTTGCCAATTGGTGACCTCGTGGTAGCTGTTGATTTCTCTGAAGCACATGAAGGGCTGAAACAAAGTACTGATTTTGTGTTATTTTTACCCAGAATAATCTCGCTTCCTTGAATTCTCTTGTTGACAGGACTGGTCCCGTGGACGTCGGCAGTCTCCTGAATCGGTCGATTGCCCTGTTGATAGCTACTGTTACTGCTAGAAGCTGAGCCATCGAGCTGTACCTGGTGAGTAGCTCAGCAAGTTCGTTGACTTTTGGTGCAACTGGATGTGCTCGTGCTGGGTTCGCTTCCTTGGCCACTTCTGGGATGTCCATTGCTGGAGCGTCAATTGTTCATTGTGGCCATTCTTCAGGATCCTGATTAATCCACTCAGGTCCTGACCACCAAAGTTGATGATCTGCTGGCTGACTTGGAGATATGCCTCTGGATGCGCAGTCGGCTGGATTTTTTTTCCCACTGACGTGTCTCCAGATGGCATTCGGAAGAGTTTCCTGGATCTTGACCACTCTGTTGTGGACGAAATCTTTCCACCTTGATGCGTGGCTTCTGATCCAGGCGAGTATTACTGCTGAATCCGACCAAAGATGAGTTTCTGCATGGTCGAGCTGAAGCATCCTCTGTGTTGAGGCTACTAGTTGTGTTAACAAGCGAGCTGCTGTAAGCTCTAATCTTGGAATAGTCATGATCGCTGCTTGATCGGTGCTACCTTTGTCTTCGCACAGACCATCACTGTTGAAGCTGGCTCGTTGATGTTCTTGGTGCGTATGTATACCACTGCACTCATAGCTACGGTTGAAGCATCTGTGAATCCGTGTCATTGAATGTTATTTTGTTTTGATGATAAATTGAGCCATCTGGGTACAGCAACTTTATTCAATTCTGTGAGTTCCTGGCGAAATGACTCCCATCGTTGAGTGGACTCCGTGGGGAGGGGGTCATCCCAATTACATTTGAGTTTCCAGAGATCCTGCATGAGAATTTTTCCTTTTACGACGACTGGAGCGATGAAGCCCAAAGGATCGAAGATCTGAGCTATCTCTGAAAATACAACCCTCTTGGTGATCGTCTGTGTGTTGAAGTCTATGGATTTGTACCTGAATGTGTCGGACGACTGATGCCAACACATTCCAAGAACTTTGGTTACTGATTCTTCAAACTGGATTACGGCTTCCTCTATTGATAATCCGAGCTCGTGCAATAGCCGTGGGCAATTGCTGCTCCATTTCTGAAGAGCGAAGCCTCCAGCCTGACAGAGTCCTTGTAGTTGCCAGACTATCTCCTTGAGTTCTGCTGCTGACTCAGCTCCGCCGTAGATGTCGTCAACATACCGACCTCTGGTGATTGTCTCGACGGCTGCTGGGAAGCGGTGACCCTCATCCTCCGCTAATTGTTCAAGAACTCTCAGAGATAGCTATGGAGAACAGTTGAGACCGTAGTTGACTGTGGTTAGCTGATAGGAGATTTGTTGCTGATTATCATCAATCCACAAAATTCTCTGGAGGTCCCAATCATCCCTGTGAACTCGTATCTGTCTGAACATCTTGACGATGTCGGTGCCAAACACGAGTCTGTGCTTTCTCATCCATGTCAAGACGTCCATGGCGTTGATCTGCAATTTTCCACCAGGATATAATATATCATTGAGTGACATACATGATGAGCTGGGACTGGAGCCGTTGAAAACGACTCTCAGCTTTGTGGTGATGGCCTCTTCTCTCAGAACCCCGTGGTGTGGCAGATAATAGGCTGGGGTAGGTTCTGGAGAATCGGGTGCTCTCTGCATATGTCCCAAAGCCTCGTATTCGTTGATGAAATCCTTGTAGAGCTGGGCATATTCCTGATTGTTGTTGAGTTTGCTGATTTTTGATCTGAGCTATCGTGAAGCCTTGAACTTTGACTCCCCGAGCGCTTCTGCTGACGTTTTCAATGGGAGCCTCACAATGTAACGCCCTGTTGAATCTCTGCTGTGTGTTGATCTGAAGTGTTTTTCACACTCCAGCTCGTCTGGTGATAGCTCTGAGTTGTCTGAACGTTGGACTGGTAATTCTTCCTGGACCCAAAACCTTTGTAGAAGCTCTAGTAGTCGTTCATTTGAAGATTCCCGTACAGCTGATAGGGAGACCCTCGTTGAGCGACTGGAGCAGTTGATTGGACCTGATAATATCCAACCAAATGCTGTGCGTTGGCCAACTAATCTTGACTGTTTAGACTTGACAACTTCTTCTTTAATTATCTGCCCGTAGTTGTCAGCCCCTATTATTATATCTATTGGTCCAGGCTGGAGATACTGTTGATCAGCTAGTTGAAGATTTTCTAGTGAGCCGATGTCGACTGATTCACAGGAGAATGATGGCAGGATTACTGTGAGTTTCTTCAAGACGTGGGCGTTGAGTTTTACTTACTGGGGCCCGTTGATTGCTTGTAGCGTCACTGACCCCCTTCCTCTTGTGTGGCCTGAATTGACTCTGCCAATTCCTATTAATTCCAATGTTTCTGTTGTTCTTGTGAGGTGCAGTTGATGTACTAATTTCTCAGAGATAAATGACACCTCTGATCCTTGATCAATTAGTACTCTGGCTCTGCTGATGAATCCTTTTGGGGATTTTACTTTGACTTGCGCTGTTGCTAACAGCACTGATTGTTGATCTGCTTCTTGTTGAGTTGTTTCTGCATTCTCACTGGTCCGCTGATTGTTGAGGTTGACAGTTGCCGTTGATGTACTGGGTCGAGCTGTTGAGAATGACCAATGAGGAGGTTATTTTGTTGATTATGCTATAATTCGTTCACTCACTCGTGATCTTGTCTGTACTCTGCCCTGGATCGACTTTTGCTGATGCAGGGACATCTGTTGATTCCAAGTCACGTCGAGTTCGTGGTGGAGCGTTGGTGTACTCGCTTCCTCCATGAATTAAAGTGTGGTGGTTGCCCTGACATTGTTGACATCTTTTCGTTGAGAAACACTTCGTCTTTCGGTGAGGTCCCAGACAGCTGAAGCAGAGGCCATTGCTTATGACCACGCTGTTCCTCTTTACTGGGGGCAACTCCCTGAATTTCTGGTACTCAGCGATAAAGTTTTTTTCCTTACACATGGCACAACAGTTTCTCGGAAGAAGCCTCTCAGCGTTGCTGTCTTGTTGAGTAGCTGCTGCGTAAGAGCTCTTCTTCTTCTTTAGTGATTTCCTCTCGGCGATGTTGTTTTCCTGTGTTGCATGAAGCTCTGATCTTGCGTCGATTCCTCTGCCACAGGCTTTGACGAATCCGACGAATTCCTTCAGACTGGGAAAGTCTCTGGAGTCTCCCAGTTTCAATTCCCACTGCTTGAAGGTTGCTGCATCTAATGATCTCCTCAGCAGGTGGGCGATCATCTGTTCAATCAAGTTCGCATCTGAGAGACCGACTACCTCTCGTAGCTGGTCTAGCGACTCGACTGCTGCTGCTGTGTTGTCGTTGAGTTTCTCCTGAGTTGCCTTGGTGATTTTTGGTAGCTCCAGTATTCGATTGAACAGGTACTGAGCTACCAATCTTGGATCATTGTATTTCGCCTTGAGCTTCTGCCAAGCCTTTTCAAAATTCTGGTCGTTGATGTCCAATGTCGATATGAGAGTAGCTGGAGGTCCTCTGAGGCTGCTTTTGAGCCTAATCAACTTCTCCACTGGTGCGATTGTTGATTTGCTACCGACCAGCGAGGTGAAGAGATCTCTGAATTCCTTCCACTGGGATGGGGTACCGTCGAAAGCCTTCAAATCCAGACTTTTGAGCTTGTCTGGGTGTTCTTGGCCTGGTGAATTGCTTGCTGGTTTAGTTTTCTTCGACAACCGACCTTTCAGCTTACTGATGAGCTTTATACTTTGCTCCTTTGTGGCAGCTGTCTGTTCGAAGATTCCTTCAGTCAAGTAGGGATGATCGTGAGGGAGATATTCGATTATGCCTCCCTGCTGTGAAAGAAACTCTGCCCAGTAGGTCTCAAGGATTTCTTTCTGTCCATCCAGCTCTTCCACGGTGACGTCCTCGTCATTCATGATCGTGGTGGTGAGCTCCTTATAAATGTGGGTGATGCTCTCCACTCTGAACTTTAGCTGCCTCAGTAGAATCTCTTGATGCACAGTGAGACCTGCAGCGGGTAGCCCTATCACCTCCGAGTATCTCGTCTTGATGTGCTGAATTCGTTGAGTACTCGGGATGTTGGCTTCGTCTTCAGTCTCGCTGATTACAACTTTCAGAATTGTTGATGGTGGAGGTTCTGTCTTCGTTGGTTGTGCCGCTGCGCCTCTACTATCTTGTTGATTATCTACGGCTTGTTTTTCAATTACGGTATCTGGATCAGACATGATGATGTAATTGAAAGTCTACTTGCCTGAGAATTTCTTGTTGAGTGGATTCGGATGTCGGTGATGTATCGACTGTCGATGCGCTACCAACCGTTGACGTACTGTCGATGCGTTACCGACCGTAGATGTTTGCGTTGTGTCGGTAAGGCGTCGCTTGGGAGGCCGCCTGTTGCTGAGCGCACTGGCCCAGCGTTGAGGTCCTTCGGCAGTACTCGTATAACCCGAACTCTCACGAACCTTCTCACCACTTTGAGACACTGATGTTTACACTTCGGATTACCGCCAAGAGAAAACAATAGCACAACTACTCTTTGCCCGTTGAGACTCTGTCCGTTGACCGACTCGTGTAGACCCCGAAAGTTCGTTATACGAGGCGTCTTTTTAAATTCACCCGAATCCGACCACACTAATTACTCCCAAATCCGTCTCGAAGGACCAATGTTTGGTGAGGAACTAGATTTAGGGTGGATTGGGAGGTTAGAGAATCGTCGGTGTGAAATAATTGTTGAGAGTCTTGACCGAATATGAATGTTAATTTATTCTCGCGTTCAAACCACGCTTTGTCAAATTTACAAAACACCTTGTCACTAGTTGATCGTACTGAATTCATTTTAATTGTTTATAGGTTTTGCACTGTTGAGTCACTGGTTAAATGGCCAATAAATAACGTGATTTTCTCTTTACTGAATTTCTATCGCCGAGCTAATAGACGTTAATGTACTGAACGTGTCTACACTCTGCGCGTTACTCAAATAATGAGTTGAACTCTAATCAAAATGGACTATACCGCAGATCGTTTTATACAGACTCGCGTTGATTTACGGTGACTCTACTAGACCTGAGCAGTGACCCGGAAAAGACCGATGATTTTCGTAATTGGCCGAGCTGATCGACCTTGGTCTTGGAGAGGTTGGGTTGCGTTTCAAACAGATATTTTTTGTTGTAAATTAAATTTACCACAAAAAAGGTAATCTGACAAAATCCAGTAAAATCTTGTGTTCAAAAGAGAATCCACAATCAAACGATGACCTCGAAAATGGGAAGAGTTATGGCCTTCGATTTTCGTGAAATTTTGCTGAAAATAAATGTTTTGCCAATTATCTCGTAAACAAATGAGTTCACAGCATTTTGCCAAAAAAACTTTTTTGTATAAAATCAAATTTTCTACAAAAAAAGTTCTATGGTGTAATAACGTAAACCCAATAGTTTATTAAATAATTACATAACAATGTTAATTACATTTTTGTAATTATTTAATAAACTACTGAATTTAGGTGATTTCATTATAAGACGTTTGTTGCAGGAAATTAGATTCCCTACAAAAAATAATAAATGGCAAAATGTTGTAAATGTTGAAGGTGTTGATCAAGCTCTAGACTGAAGGTATGGGTAGGGAGACAGAGGCAGGGACAGGGACGGAATTCAATGTCACAGTTTGTTTACTATTTCGGAATAAAGCAAAGTGAGCAGACGTGCCTTGTACGTTCAGTTACAGTGTCGTTTCTTGTGCCTTCTATTTGTCATTCTGTGCCATCACTAATATTCAACAGGTTATGGGCCATTAGTGCTGATATCAGAATTGGACTATAAAGGTCGAGAGTGCAGTTAAAGTTAAAGTTAAAGTTAAAGTTAAAGTTAAAGACTAAGAACAAAGGTAAAGTTTAAAGTGAAGTTGAAGACAAGAACGGCTAAGCAATGGCAGAAGGCAGTTCATCGATGACAAATACTTTTGGCATCGAAAAGTTGAATAATACAAACTATCAACTATGGTAATTTAAACTAGAAAAGTTCATGAAGAGAGAAGGCTCATGGAGAGCGCTAACAAAAGAAAAACCTAGGGGGACGACGACGCGATTGAGGCATGGGAAATACGTGATGAAAAAGCGCAAGGAACTATTTCACTATTCATTGAAAATGATCAAAGGGCATACATTGATGGAGCACAGACAGCTAAGGAAATCTGGGATGCCTTGGAAAAGTATCATCAAAAAGGAAGTGGCATAAACAAGCTCAACGTGATCGTAGACTTGCTGGATCAAATAATGAACGAAGGAGATGATATGGAAAAACGTATAAGCAAAATCCAAAAATCAATAAGTCACCTGAGTGCTCTCGGAACAAAAGGTATCTCTGAATTCGGACCTTGGATTATCCTACGTAGCATGCCCCCATCGTACGGTATACTAGTATCAGTTCTCGCAGCTAAACCTGAAGATGAAATGATCTTGGATGTGGTCAAGGCAACTTTAATAGGCGAATACAAGAGAAGACAAAAACTCGCGCCACTGGGACAATCAGATATCGCGCTGAAAGTAAACAGACCTGGGAACGAGGCTGTTGAATGTTTCTTCTGCCATGGAAGAGATCATTTGAAACACCAGTATTCAAAATATCTCAACTGGAAAAGGAAGAATATCAAAAATAAAAGATTTGAACGAGCAAGGGCAGTAGTAGAAGATAGCTTAATGATGGACAGCAACGATGAAAGTGAGACAGAGACGATACCACAGTTTGCGTTCTCAGTGAAAACGAACACCCGAAAAATAAAGAAAAATTGGTACCTTGACTCAGCAGCCAGTAGCCATATGACGAATAATATCTCTTTCTTCGACGAAATAGACACTACATTCCTATCAAAAGTGTGTGTTACCAATGGACAGGCTTGCACGGTTTACGGGATTGGAAAGGGATAGATAGAATGCCTAACGGAGAAAGGAGAGAGAAGCGTGCTGCAGCTCGAGAAGGTATTATACGTACCAGACTTCGAATGTGGATTAATATGGATAGGTACATTTGACAAACAAGGTTTCAGTGTCCAGATAAAGAATAATCTGATGGTTATTTCGCATGAGAAGAACATTGTAGCTACGGGAGATGGTACAGAACAAATGTACAAATTGAGATCTCCCGAATATGCATTCTCAGTACTGCATCAACATCCTGATAATTGCATACACCATTGGCACAAAAGACTCGCTCATCGAGACGCAAAAGCAATCCGACAGCTAGCAGCAAAAGGTCTAACAACTGGGATGAAAATCGAGGATTGTCCAATCAAACAAGTATGTGAATGCTGCCTCAGAGGGAAAATCACTCGAAAACCGTTTCCTAAAGAGTCACAAACCACCGCAAAAGAACCACTGGAGCTAATTCACACAGATCTCTGCGGACCAATGGCAACACCCACACCTGGGGGGCGCAGGTACGTGCTGACTTTCATCGATGACTATAGTCGATACACCCACTCAGTTCTGTTGATCCACAAATCCCAAACTGCACTCGCAATAAAAGAATTTGTCAAATTATGCAGCACGCAACATGGGCGAACACCGAAAATCTTCCGATCTGACAGAGGTGGAGAGTACATGAACCAAGACCTGAAAGACTACTTCAAGAGTAAAGGTATTAAAACCCAACATTCTACACCTTATACGCCAGAACAGAATGGGGTAGCAGAGAGAAAAAATAGATACCTGATGGAGGCCGTCAGGACTATGCTCATTGATGCTAAACTTCCAGATAAATATTGGGGCGAGGCAGTGGTTACAGCAACGTACGTACAGAATAGACTTCCCACCAGCAAGAAATTAGTCACACCCTACGAGCTTTGGTTTAGCGAGAAACCACAATTAATACATGTCAGAACCTTTGGATGCAGAGTATTCGCCCACATTCCAAAACAAAAGAGGACAAAATTAAACGTAAAGGCCTACGTAGTCTTCATAGAAAACTCTCGAGCTGAAGGGAAAGTACACCACCCCTATGACTTTGTACCCCAGCGAGACAACAATCAAGGATGTACTGAACGAGGATTCGTCCCTATCCCGGTTGACATTATATCAACTCATCCGATGGGAGAGAAAATGAAGAAGAAGTCCTCACAACAAGTCTATCCAAGGGAAGATCGCGGGGCATCAACCCTAGAGGCAAACCACGAATCATATCATCCAGGGGAAGGCGAGCCGGGCAGCCCACAATCTGTCCACGAGGACCCTGATGAAGTTCCACTCATTCAACGACTGGGTGAAGGCATCTCATTAATCTACACCAACGAAGAGCTGACAGATGGAGCCGAACCGAGAACTTACGAGGAAGCTATGAACGGCCCTCACAAGGAAGAATGGACACAAGCCATCAAAGAGGAAATCGCATCACTAGAAGAAAACGAATCTAGAACCTGGAACCAATCCAAAAGGGCAAGAAGGCGATTGGTAGCAAATGGGTTTTCAAAATCAAAACAACTGGAGATGGGAAGAGGAAGAAGTTCAAGGCCAGACTGGTGGCACAGGGTTTCACTCAAAAATATGGTGTCGCCTGTGACGAGGTCTTCGTACCTGATGCAAAAGCAACCACGATTAGGAGCCTATTGTCCATCGCAGGGAATAGAGGCTACCATGTGAAACACCTGGACATCAAGAGCGCGTTCCTTAATATCAAATTGACAGAAGATATATACATGAAGCAGCCGCCAGGGCACGTTGATGAAAAACATCCCGACTGGGCGTTCAGACTAGAAAAATCCATCTATGGACTCAAACAGGTGGCCAGAGCCTGGAACCAAACTCTATACTCGATACTGGAGGGATACGGATTTAAACGGAGTGAGGATGATGCGTGTCTTTACAAACACGGCAACAACACTCTCGTACCTAGCTGTAGACGTGGACGATATTCCACTCGTCAGTCAAACTCGTGAGCGGCTCGATCAAATAATTAATGCACTGGAGACGCATTTTCCCATCACCCTTCTAGGAGACATCAAATGCTACCTATGTCTGATGGTGAGGAGAAATGGACACGGAGAGTTCCTCATTAACCAAGCTCCCTACATCAACAAGATATTAAAAAGAACCAGACTCGAAGATGCGAAACCCTCAGCTTATCCAATGGACCCAGGCTACGAAAAGCTCCGAGCAGATTCACCAGAAGTGGACAACAAGTATTATCAACGCCTGATTGGAGCATTGCTTTACGTGTCAGTCAACACGCGCCCCGACATT